CAAAGAAATGTCTACTCCAAATATTTTCTTTCCTGTGTTTTCTAACATGGTTGTAGCTGTAGGTGGAAATACTGAAAGATGCAAGTAAAAAATAAAAGCAGTGTATCTGTGCAAAATTAAGTGTGTTCTATCAGGAAGGAGAGTCTGTGGTGTATTTAGCAAATATGCATTTGGAGACACTGTGTTAGCCAAAGAAAATACTCTCAACCTTTTGGTTTGCATTTGAATCCCACATAGTTTGAGTGAGATTGATCATAGCTAGTAATGGGCTTCAATATGTGGTTACCTGTGTGAGAACTATTCCCTGTGGGTTTTCCAGTCCCCTGTAATACATACCTGGTTTGGAGTGGGGTACCTTGTTCCTGAGTATTTCTACTTCTCACTGAGTGAGGTCAGATTAACTCAGACTTGACTAACAGTTAATTCTGGGTGGATCCCAGCAGCCCTGGCTCCCACTGGTTTCTTGTGTGCCAAGATAGGAGGATTAGACCCCATCCTTTTGCTCTTCCTTCCAAAGCCTTTCGCAGGGAGATCTAAGGTGCAGATTCGGGTGTTCAGCACCACTGAACTGTTTGGGAGCCAGCAGGAGGCAGCTTGCACATCCAGATCCTTGGGAATGAGTCTGCTGGCTCTTCTTTTGAGAGAGCACATCACCCTCTGTCCTGGATGTAGGAGCAGTTCGTGCCTGAAGCCTCCAGTGTTTTATGACACTTCCTCTCTGTTTCCATTTATTTTTTAAGGATTTTTTTTAAAGGAAATCAGACCCAACAAATGCAGTTGTGTGATGACAGAAAACACAATGAAAGGAGTTACTATTTGAGTCAATGTTTTCTAAAAAGGAGAGGAATAGCTGTTCAACTGTTTAGTCTTTGTTTTCATTAGAACTTTGTGCTTGTTTGTTGTTGATCCATTTTTGTTACATTTCAGGGAAAAGGCATTTTAATAAAAGATAAAACATAGCTACCATTTTAAACTATAATACTTATTTTTGAACTTCAGCACATCTTTTAAATTGGGCTGTGATAAAAGGATTGACATTTCAAAGCAAGGAAAACATAAGATGAGGAGAGAGAAGAGTGCAAAACAGACTGGATAATTGTTACTTTTATAGTTATGTGTTCATGTGTTTGACTTTTCCTGTTTTGACTCTACACAGAATGCTATCCGATTTTTGTTCATGGCAGTCTAAAGAAATCTGGGTGATGTCATTGAACCTGCCATGAGTTTGCCAGAAGGACTTTATTAACCCTGAAAAGCCCATTTTTTTAAAAAATATTTTCAAGTGAGATGGGAACAATAAAAAGTTAACGACTCCTTAATGGTTATATGAAGAAGATGAACTTTGTATACCATGTCCCTGATCTGATAAATTGATGACAGTGTAGCTTAACAAAGTTCACTGTTCGGCCACTGTCAGGGTAGGAATGGTTTTTAAAGCAATCCCAGTGGGAGCCAGAATTAGCTGTTAGTCAGTTCTGAGTCATCTGTTCACTCAGTGAAGAGAAGCAGAAATAATCAGGAACAAGTCACCCCACTCCAAACCAGGTATGTAATTTATGGGATGGAAGACCCCTAACTATTCCCCAGGGAATACTTCACACTCAGATAACTACAGAAAGAAGTTCTAAAAGAATAGAACAAGAGAAAACTGTGTTAGGTAAAATTATTTAATATCACAGGCATATAAATTAATCAGACCACATAGTCCTTAGTATGAACATTCCCTTTACAGAAATGCAATAAATAATTAAATTAGATGAGTCAATGGGTATAAAAATAATCTTCTCTGGAAAAGTAAATATTACACAGAATTGTATATACCATGCTAAAACACATCTTGAAGTGCCTGAAAAGTGCACTTATGATCAAAGTCATAAATATATTGTAAAGCCTCCCTGGGAGGTAATGAGCTTTTACAAAAGGCTTACACTCAGTTAATGAAAAATACATTGTTTCTGCAGAAAATGCAGTTAGTACAACGAGAGTCCATCTTACAAAAGGAAGTAAGTCAAGACTGTGTACACATCCTGATGTGTGATATGGTCCTTTCTAGGATCACAGGTTCCTCCTGGTGCATCTTAATTTCTTATTCTGAGAACTGGTGTTGCAGAATGAGATGATGTCTTCTTGAACGCTGGTTTGTCCTGCACGGATTTCCTGTTCTTCATTCATCCTGTTCTTCAAATAGCACACTGAATAACACCCTCAGCCTTTCATAGCTCTGACAAATCAAAGTTAGCACGGAGCCACAGGATCATGTGAATCAAAACGTATTTGAAGTGTACGGAGTTGCCCGCTGTGACTGTGCTGACACTGCCCAGAAGTGTGGTGTTAATGAACATCAGCTGTGATAGTTTTGTAATTAATATTCTCCATACATTGCTGGACTGGATTGTCCAATACTTCTGGTAAGATCTCAGAGCAGTTAACCCTCTAAGTTACATTTGTTGCGGTTTCTCACTAGTTTTTTGAATCCTACAAATGAGCATTTTGAGTTAAGTTGTTCTGCTGGTACAAGAAATAGCCTCAATTAACAAGCAAGTATATTATGTTTAAAACAAGGAAGAAAACCTCTTTAGCACTATGCTAGGTGTGATAAGACCCATAGTTAAAAGGCTGGAGCAAGTCACTAAACAGAAATAGCTACATTGCTTACTACATTACATGCTGTCTCCTGTATGAAACCCAGAAATTGCTGCAGTGTGGGCAGGAGTAACCAGTTAGCTTATGACATTCCTGTAGGGAATTCTTTCCATTCATAAAATATCCATCCCAGATACTAAAGTTCCCTCTCAATGCTTTATAATGATTGCTAATAAATAGGTAATGTACAATGTTGTTTGTGTTAAAATGCTAAGAACATGTCATCTACACAACAAGACTTTTCAGTCTTTTAGAATAGGCCCTTTTAGAATATTGATTTAAGGCATTTAGCAAGTTACTGGAAAAGACATTTACAAATAAAAAATATATACTGTATTCTTTCTACAAAAATAAAGCTCTTTCCCTTAAACTCTGAATATGCAAATATTCCGTGGAAGTGAGTGAAAAGTGCTGGTTTATTGGTTGACCTTCTAAGAATCACCAAAAAAGGCACTTAATTCCCAATAAAGGCATTCAGATAAACTCCTCCATAAAAATATAAATGTTGGTATGCTGCAACTGCAGGATTTGCTTTAATATTTTCCCAGTCGTTTTTATCCAAATCTGAAATTAAATTTTACCCTAACTTTCTCTGCTTCTGTAACTTTAAAATGCATTGCATTCTCAGCAGCAGCCTTGCATATTGCTCACCAATTGGTGGGGAAGGGACTTCCTGGGCAGGTGAGTCAGAAGCAGGGATAGAAGGTGCAGAAAGAACATCCTTTACACTTAGTAGCTTGATTACGTACATAGGAGTGGTAGCTCATGTTTAGAATGTTCATTCTCATGCAGTAATATGGAAACACTGAGGTACGAGATAGAACATCACTCAGAGTCTGAAAAGCGGTTTTTGAAACAGAAAAAAAAAAAGAAAAGGAGAAGAAAAAGATGCTCTAAATCAAAATGACCATCGGAGAGTTCACTGCAGAGACTTGGTTTGTTGTTGCCCTAAGGATCTTCCTTCCTCCTCCTCCGTTTCAGGACAGCAAAATGTAGAGGCAGCAAAGCTTTTTGTATTAGTTTTCCTTCAGGCCGACGTTGGTAGGAATGGAAATATTTTTAATACTGCCTCATTATTTGTGGAGGTAACTGAGCTTGTAATTTTCCATTGTAACACTAGACGTAGTTTTCCAGTTTCCTGTCTATACCACATTTCTACTAAGTAGAGAGAAAAATTACCTGAAAGGTTAATTTTTACTGGAAGGCTTTACCCTCTCTTCCAAGAGCAGTTCCCTCATGTGGGGCTAATATCTCTCTGGGGATAAATTAGCAGTTGCTGCTCAGGTGGATGAGTCCAGAGGTTCAGAATCATTGCAAGCAGAATATGGTGGTATATAATTAAGCTGCTAAAAGTACTTTTAAGTGCTGTGATACTCACTTTTACTTTAAAAAGTTTCAGTGGTATCTCTGGCCATAGTTCCACAGAAACATTCAGGACTGAGAAGCTGTACAGGCAGGTTTCCACACAACAAAAAACTTGACAGATTTTAAAGGATAAAGTGTAAATAAAGCTTAAACTGTTAAAATGAATGAAGAGGAGAGAGAAGGAATAGTGTTAATGTGGTACATGAATATGAGTATAAAATATTGTCCTCTGAGAAGGAGCAATATGCATTTGAGCTGCTTCACTCTGAATAATCATCAATTACTGTGTTTATTGGACCTTTTGTGGTGGCTGGTCATACCAGCCAGTCATGTCTATGCTGTATCTATCATGTTATGTTGGGGGAGTCTAGGTGGAATTCCACCTTTTGAACTCTGTTTTTCCACTCAAAATTGTGTCTCTTTAATTAGAGCACATGGGTTACCCCTGTTGAAACCTGAGGTAGATGTGCCATTAATCATAGTTCAGACCCATGGCATACATGCCATAGATTTTAACATTTGTAAATGTTTTTCCAGTATTTAGAAGGCAGTTAAATGCAGGATATTTTTTCCATAGTTAGCTAAGGTACAGAGCTTATAAATCAAATTGTGTGTGTGTGGTACATTTGTTCATTTTCTTTAAAAAGTTTTAGACATCTCTGCATGGGATTCATGTAAGATCAAAGCAAAAATATAGGATCTTGGGTCTTTCTAGTTCAGCAGAAGGTGACAGTTAAGTCCCTTAAGAGAACCTATTTTTGTGAAATTACAATTTAATTTTCACTGTAAGGTGGGCTTAGGATCACTTTCAAAACAGCATCCACCTTATGAATAACCATCCAGAAAAGACTCCTTAATATTTTGGGAGAAGCTTTCACTTACCACACACACACAACACAGCATAAGAGCACTGAAAAATATTTACATTTTTCACATCTTAAATAACATAGTGTCTGCTTTAAGAAGTAGATTTTCAGCAGCCTTCAGCTCTGTTATGTGCTATATTCGTTCTTGAGTAACTGTAAAAACAAGGCATTGTTAGAAATAATGTAAAATAAGGATATCTGTAATAGTTTACAAAATGTTGAAAGCACCTAGGAGCAATCAGCTCTGCTTACCTTTTGGATTAGTTTGGCAAAGCTCGTCAAAAACTCTTTGGGGGGTTTCTTCTTGTAGGATTCACATGAAGACTCACACTGCTGGAAGATAAAGAAAATCATGCCACTTCTAACCAGCACATCAGAACCATAAATCAGGCTTCAAGCTTTCTCACTGAAAAATCAAGAGGGTTGTGAGCAAAGCCTTTTCCAGCTGGAAAAGCTTCTACACAAGCTGTTTCAGAAAGGGAGAGAATTTAGTAATGACACCTTTCCTTCACGTTTTTTGCAGTGATCCCTGTCCTTTTGCCGGCACACATGTGGCTGCCAAGTACATACATGTGATTGATTCAGGATCCCAGTGAATGCCTCTCCCAAAAGTGCAAAAATTGGACATTTTTAATTTCCGAAGTAGTGAAAGGCAGATTGTTTTTTCCTAACGAGTTTGCTTTCTACAATTCTACCCTTGCAGCTGGTGTCTGCTATAGAAAATAAGGAGCAATGATCACCATTATGAGCACTGTGAGGAAATCCTACCTTTCCAGAACTTCTGACGGTGTATTTTCTGAAGACTCTGATGGCTTGGATGAACGTAGCGTTCGCTTGGCTGTTTAAGGGTTGTAATTGCAGTGTGCCGTTCTTGAAGCACCTCAGAGCTGTGTCCACGCATCCCTCCTGGGGCAGGAAAAGAAGGAACTGCTTTAAAGCAAATGTTTCAGCGCTTTTTCCTGCATGTGGTTAGGCTGTGGTCCACGTGCAAAAGTAAGTATCCAGGATATTAGTTGAGAATATTCAATTGTACTCTTTTTTTTTTTTAAGTTAGTTTTAGATATGCAAGAGATCTTTACTTTGCCTGATCTTGGATTAATTACTTAAACACTTAGTATTTTCTAACTAAAATTTCCACTTGGATATTAATCATGACAGCAGTTGAAAAAAAATGCTCCTGAAGAGTATATGTTACATGTAGTAGGTTTTCACAAGTATGAGCATTCTATTTAAAAAAAATTACACATATCTCTCAGTGCTACATGTGGGAATATACCTTTTTCATCCTAATTTTTGTGCCATTTCTAGTGCTGCCTCCTTAATAATTAGAGTTGATGTAGAACTATTGAAATAGTCTCACATGATAACATGGGAAACGAATACAGGAAATACCACCAAAACTAACCTAATAGTCAACAGAGAAACAAAAGCAGTGTTTACTGAAACCAGTTTCTAAGTGAAAGAAGCATTTAGGACTGCTGATTGCACGTTTTAGAAAGGCTCCAAAGCTGTCATCCCTGCTTTGCACCCTAACCAACTGCTACCCAAGCAGAGTCCCATTTGGGTTTGATAGATGTCACTGCACTTTGCTGCCTGGGCAAGGACCAGGCAACAAGAAGGCAACCTCCGTGTATGTTGCTTATAGCAAATCTTACTAGCAACATTTTATATTGGTTAGAGAAAGCATTTTATTTTCCTTAAAAGCCACACATTTATGTTTGTTTCAAGCATCTTACCGTAACCGGTCTTGCTTACTGGAAAAAAACCATTCGTTTTTTAAAAAGAGATCGATTTTCCAGCTGAAACTGAAAACGTTTTCTGTCTCATCCGTGATGAGCTGAGAAACCAGCATTTCTCATCTCTGCTGCCTTTCTTTTTTTGCTGAGTTAACACTCAGCTGCAGGCAGGCCAACAGTCAGACGACCGCAAGGATTGTGGGGTTTGGTACGTGGTCACGGGTTAAGCACTTCGATGAAAAGGCATTAAAAAGCACAGACCACTGGAAATGTCTGAGGGGGGCTAGGCAAGCATGTAAAATAATTATCTCAGAGGCAATTTGCAGCACTACTCTGCATCTGACTCAAACTAACTTCACAGATTAGCCTGTAGAGCCCTCACTTCTGGAATTAGTGATCGGCGGGGTTAGACAGTGATCCTGTGTAAATCAGCACTGTGTTATGACTTCAGCTGCACTATCAATCAGCAGAAAGAAAGCTTATCTTCCCTGCACTCTGGAATCACTTCAGCATTAAGATTACTTTTTCAGCCTCAGCATGATTTTCCCTGAGTTGATGTTGCCTTACGTCCCTAGGGAGTTGTGTGGGACTAACAGTCCACACAGAGGAACCTCAAGGAAGCCCAAACAGATGGTGATAAACCACCTAATTTTGAGTGTTACAAAAGGTTGTTTTCTTATTCAAGACCAAATTTACATCTGGCATAAGCAGGTTATCATAAAAGCAGTATTTTTGATATTTGAAATACAGTGATATGAACAACTTTTGATTAAATCAAGTTTCATTAGGGTGCGATGGCACCTAATCACCCCAAGTGCCTCTTCGGCACACTGTAATTCATGTCTTAGTCACCCTGTAGGATGAAAAGTTCATTGATTTGGTTGCTGGTGATAATTACTATTAGCACACTAATATTTTTTTAAATGCTTTTCATCAGAAGTTGAACCTGTATCAATTCAATACTTTCTAAATACGTGAGTTTTCTGTCTTCTCTAGTTTTCAGCAGAGGTACCTTAGGACCTCCCAGAATCAGACTGTAAAGCCCTAAGCTGCAAGTGAAATGTTGTCTTCCTTCCTGAAGTGAGCATGGGTTTTTTTGAGAAAAAAAAACAAACCCAACAACCTGATGAAGCAATTAGTCACTAGTTGTATTTGCTTTGTTTCAGAGGTAGCAGCAAACACTGTAGTAAAATGACAGCTAATCATCTCCTCCTTTTCACTTTGACACCACAAGTTAGTGAGTGTTAATGAAAAAAGCCTCCAGCAATTAGTTGGAGTGCGTTGGGTTTGTGCACAGCAGTTGTTTCCAGCAATGCAAAGGAACGTCTCTGTTTTGATCCTGCTTCTGTGTATTTTTGGCAAGTAAAAAAGGCAGCCACCTGTAAAGCCTAGGAGGAGGCCAACCAAAACCCGTGTGAAATGAGGTGAGTTTCTTTCCTTCCTTCTGGAAGCTGCTTTACAAGAGAGTTTGCAGCCCTGAGTAGATAGTTTTTGTAAGAATGCTTGCAGCATTACAGCATAATAATACATAATGGTTATTTTTACATGTCAGTATGCATTGTTTGTGTTATGAAATAGTTGTCAGGGCTCAAAAATTTAAGACAGCTGATAACAAAAGTGTAATATTATATTAGCCACAGTTCACTCTAGACCTTTGTTGCATGTTGGGGATTATCAAAGCAGGATGCATTTACCCTCTAGGCTTTTAAGACATGTTGTTACTATGATTAGCATTTAATTTTGTGACACACCCTCCATCCTGCCACTTTCGAGTATGCACAGACTTTCTGTGAGTCTGCAATTATAAATTTACTACATATAAGAAGTTCCTGACCTTGAGAGATGCAAGATATTAGCAATAAATAACATATAAATAAATATCAGTATTAAAAAGGGTTTCATGGGGACCTTTTCTTGTATTTGTAACTAGTTAGAATCCACAGAGATTATTTGCAGAAAGCAGTTTTGTCTTCCTGTTGATAGCACAAGCCTTGCATTCAAACAGTCTCAGAGAGACCAGTGTGAGTACATATGAGAGGAAGCACTCTGTGGTATGGCCTTACAGTGCCACTCTTGGCATTCAGCTTCAGTGGGAGGGAAAGGCGATCCCTTTGGATTCAAGTGATGCTTCCAGCGTGGCTGGAGCTTGTGGCACTTCCACTCCCAAAACCCACATCCCCAAAAGTACCGCTGCTCATCTGGATCTTGAATGAACCCTCACTCCCAGCACTGTTTCTTGAGTAAATGGATCACATGCAACTCTGAATCTGTGAGTGGCTTAGAATACACATATGGTAGTAAAACACTAATTAGGACAGCAAAATATAAACACTTCTGCTATTAAGTATTTAGAAATAAGAATCTTTTATAAAAGTATTTTCTTAGTCTAGCTCCACGTTTAGAGTACTAGATCAGAGATATGAAGAAGCAAGCATGTGCCACTTATCAATGGAATAAACCAGTACAAAATCAAATTGATTAAAGCAATTAAATTAAATTAAAATTAAAGAAATAGTAAAGCAGTCTCACCACAGGATTTTCAGGTGTATGCAGCCATTCAACATCCTACAATGAAACAAATCTAAGTTAGAAAACTTTTGAAAGTGATGCCTCTCACAAGATACATACTAAGCAACACACAATGCTTGAAAATAATTATGACAAATTATGACATAATTATGACAAATACTTTACTTACCTTATCTTTCACAGCGTGTTCTAACTTTTCAATTACCAGGAGAATCTGTTTGTATTTTACTGCTCTGTGTGAAGCTGCAGCCAGCATTGTACTGGAAAAGAAGAAAAGCATACAGAAAATAATCGTCCTCTCCATCCTGACGAGTTTTGTTTTAAAATGGGCCAGGAGCAAAGTTGTGCTGTCCAAGTTTAACACTCCAGTTTGAGCTGTGCCCAGGTATGCTCTGCACCTATGTATATATTGCTCCCTGCCGGAGATGCAGACCCCACCCATTTCAGTTTGGAAAGCTTTGTAGAATGGATTAATGAGTAACCCTTTTTTCTTTTCCACTGGCTAGGTGCATCTATGCAAGCTTGTGCGTGGGGGGGCAGGGATGGCTGGAGTGAGAGAAAATGTGCTCCATCTGCACATTGGACAGGAAAAAAAGAGAAAAGGGTGAATTCCCATTTTCACTTTGAGTCAAGAAGTAAACGTAGTAAAAAGTAGCTACTTAGAAACCACAGGCTTAGGTAAACAAAGATGCTGCATTTTTTAATGAATCTCTCCATCTGAAGCTCTTGTGTACTGTTCTGGAGAAATATGACAGGACTTCTCTTCAGAATTTAAATGTATTTATCTTACTTTATGGCTCCAAGGGATGTTTGTTAGCTAGTTCCCCCTGGTATCTATGAACCACCACTTTTACATTCTCAGCTTGGTTTCTGTTGGAGGTGTGAGTAAAAGCTCATCTTGGCATTTAAGCCAGATGAATTTTGGTTTATATTTGCTTGGAACCAGTACCAGATATATTAACAGCATTGTGGAGGGCATGCCCACTGGGGCTGAAAATTGCAGGGAGATACATTGCCCTGGGAGAGGTGAATCCCTGCATCCATGGGATGGGAGCAGTACTGGAAGATCAGGGACTGAATCCTGGTGAGTCCCAAGGGACACTATCACTTGAGGCAGCTAAACACTTTCTTCAGCAGCTAGGCTTGAGGTTGGTTTTGTAATTTAATCTCTTCAAAGGAGATGTGATACTGAGACCTGAGAATTCTCTTTGGAGTGTAGAAGTGCATTTGTGTTGTGTGAAATCCAAGCAAAAGTCCCTTCAGGCACTAGGGACTGATCGCCAGCTCTAGGAATCGGTTGGTTTTAAAGTCACTGTTCCTAATATTTCATCACAAAGAGGAAAAAAACTTTAAATGGCTCATATATCTTATAATTAACGAATTATTATCAATATTATGGTATTCATTAAAAGGTTCCTGTGTAGAATTAACAAAGGTTAGTTAAAGTCTCTTGGACACCTTCACTGTGGTGAATAAAAAGATGGCCAAGTGTCTTTCAAAGAAAATCTTTGCCTCTGAAAACCTGACGATTTCAGATGGCTTTGGAGATGCTTTACAAAAGCTACACGGAGTTTGGACTTCAGTTTGGTGTGTGGTAGTGTGTGTAATACGCTGCCATGTATAAAATGCACCTGTGTGTTTCTCTCTTGTGGGTGAATCTGGGCTGTCAGCTCATTAAAAATGAGCATTTAGGTTGGTGAGAGCTCTATCTGGCAGACTCAAGTGTTTGTTTTCTGTGTACAAATGACTTTTTAGTGTTTGCTGTTTAGGTGCTTAAGTAATTTTTCATCTTTCAGAAAATGGATTGCTTACAGGAACAGATTTTACAGGTGTGTCTGTAGGTGACACAGTGCACTCACGATCTCATGCATGCACACGCAAAATCTCTCCTGGTGAAAGGGAACAGAAATCCTGAAAAATGAAAACCGAAATAAGTAAGAAATAATATTTTCTTCTACTACATAGTCATTTCTTGAAAAAAAGGTGGTGTGATTTTATTTTTTTTTTCCTTCTGTAGGCATGTCTTGAAATAATTTTAGATAAGTAGCAGAGCTGGACTGTGAAGTGCAGAGTATCTCAATAGGTTTTATTCTAAAGTTGTGTTAATTTATAGCTAAACGTTATTAATGGAAATCAGCGGCATCTTTTGTTTGAGAAACCATATGGTAGCCAATACTTACTTCTTTTTATCCCACCTCCCTTTTATTCCGTTCCTGTGAAGCTTTGCAAAATTTTATTTTGTCTGTTGTTCAACACCTCCCTGAGGCTGCTGAGAGGATGGAGAGATTATTTCTAATAGTGGTGTTCTTTACAGGAAGAGAGTACTTAGTTCCACTCCTCATTAAGTGAACATTCATCTTCTTTGCTGCTGGTTACTAGTGACTTGTCTGTACATGCATTTATTCCCAATCCAGTTTTTGACTATACTGTTGGAAGTGTTAGTAGTCAAGGAGCGGGGCTGGTGATAATTTCTACTACTTTTTACTGTCATTATTTCAGCGGTGGATTCTCTTGAGAAACTCCTTTGAACCTGGCTACAGTAGGTGGTCATGTTATCACAGCCTTTATTTTATGCATTTTTATTTGGTTGATAGGTTGGAAACTTTCCATGTGGATGTGTAATGAGACTTGAATAGTTCTGATGTCATTTGGTGGCATTGTTTCATGCAAAGATATCCCTGCAGATTGTTTGCAGATCCAGACAACTTCAGAATCACTGTGAAACTTCAGTTAATTCACAATATGACTCTCCATGTGTTTAGAGAAACACGGGGCTTGAAGGGACAACACAGAGGCCGTTGGTCTGTGTCATCGTGCTGCACTGCTCTGCAAAAGGCAGTTTATGATATTAGAGGAGATAAAATTGATTGTGGCTAAGATGGTGCAAGAACAGCTGCACAGTAATACCAGAGACTGTTTGGGCAGTAAGTGAAGCACTGTCATTTTCTACCAGAAGCATCACGGAAACGTGGCAGACTTTATTCATTTGCTGGTCCAGCAGCGTAATTCATGGATTTGGTGCAGGCAGACTTCCACCAAATTCATGGGAGGTGAGATGGCTCTGTCTGAGATATTACTAAATTAAATCAGTTATATCAGAAAACAGTTTTGAAGCTGGTGGAGTAGATGGGAAGCTAAACAATGGGTATTTGGGGATGTGGTAGCCCGTGGTTGCATATCACGTCTTTAAAACTGTGAAGTCTCATGTCTTGTGTTAGAGGCTGTAAAGTCACAATAATTGCATCAAGGAAGGCATGCTGACAGAGAAAGTGAAATACAAGGACAAAGAAGGACTTCCTCTATGTCTAGGCAGTGGAGAAAACTCCTTGATATCCCTCTTATCAGATAAGAGTGAGCAACAAGTTTTTTACATACGTCACTTCTCTCTTGTGGCTTAGGAACATGCTGAGTCAAATAGTGACACCCTCTCTCGCACCGTCGCTGGCTTGGCCCTACAGGGATGGCTGGAAAGTGGAAATCTGAGAAACCTCCCATCCCAGACCCAGTCCTCCTCTTTCCTCTTTGCCACAGTGCCACTCAAGTGCTGAATGACTTCGACCCCGAAAGCCCGGTTCCCCCACCCACATTTTCCTTTACAGCAGAGCTGAATGGAGGCTTTTCCCATTGCTTAGTCATTGCTATGGCTCAGCCGAAAAAGTCTGCAATGTACAGGGCTGCTTTCAAAGAATTTTTGTGAACTAGGTATGTTGAATTTCACGTGTATACTCTCTGCGACTTGGGGGGGATTGTAGGAAAGCAAGGGGAGAGAGTTATGCTGGAAAATTGGAGACTAGGAAGAAGACTCCTGTACAACAGATTTAGGAAGATCGGTCTTTAAAATATTTCTGACAACCTTGCAAGTTAGTTGTACCCCCTTGCAATTTCATTTTCTCATTATAAGCTTTGTATTCTTGTATCTTTTAACTTTGCTTTGAAAAGAGAAATACCAAACCTGGGAAAAAATCTGTGCTTAAATTGTATTTGCTATAAAAATCAGACTAAATGTAACTCTTAATGTGGTTACACAGACACTAAAATATTAATAGACAACAGTATAAAACCACTGACATTCTCCATAAGGTTCCTTCAGAGTTAAGTTATAGCTAGTTTCTAATCCGAGGTCAACCCAGTGATGCTCATTAGGCACATAGTTTTGATGTGTTTTTAGCCTTATCAGCTGCTAATAACAAACTGCTCCGAGAAAACATCCTGTCAACACCCAGAACCTGAAACAAGCCTAGACCCTGTGCACAGAACCAGATATTCAGAGCTATCCTCTTGAGAGAATGTCCTTCTAAGTCTTTAATGCTGGAGCAGCCTCCCAGCTTCTGGGTCACACCTTTCTCAGCATGTAGGATGGAAGAAGCTTCACTGGGTCACTAAGTCTGGTCTTCTGGCACTGCAGGTGTCCATGTCATGCAGTTCCTTTCATATTTCCCATTAAAAACTCCTGCATAAGGCCTGAACAGTTCGATCTCTGTAACAGTAAGAGCTCGGAGCCGTGCCTGTGCTGTGTTCCAGCTTTTATAGAGCAACTTCATTCTTCTGTACTGTATTAATAATAATCTTTTGCCACTACCAGGGGACAGCCATGTTCAGAAGACAAGGCAGCATTTGACAGGAAGTTAGGCTACCACAGTTCTCTTAAAAATTTGAGGGCAGAAAGGAGTTGTTCAGCTGAAAGCCACAGGCGGGGAGTGGTGGGGGCAACAAGCAAGACAAGCACGTGCTTGAGACACTGCAGGTCTGCAGGTCTCCTTGTGAAATGTGGCCCACAGGGCACAGAGTTTCTACCACAGGAGTGTTGTCTGTATATAATACACGTTTCCCAATGACTCCATGGTGTGAAAAGCAGGGAGGTGCTAGTGCTGAAGCTACAGTTTGTGTCGTGTTCATCCAAAATGTTGAGAAAGAAAAATCAAGAGATACACACAGATGTTGGACAGGATGCAGAATGGCACAAGGCAAAATGTTGGGGTTTTTTTCATTTATTAATGTTAATGAACAGAAGGAACAAAAGTCAGAAGAGTTACTTCTGTGCTACAAATTCAGTAGTATGAAACAAATAACCTCCAAACCATTATTGGCTCAAGATGGTCATGTCTGGTGCACAGTCTACTGCAGGATATGGGAATGTGCTCTGTAGGTATTCCACTGGCAGCTGGGCCTCCCTATATCTTAGTGTGTCCTGCATGGTGATCAGTGTGAGACTACAGCTTGTGTTTTGATAACAAAATTAAAGGTTCTTTTGGAATTCACACCCAGGGTTTGGTGAGGCTGCTGTGCTGGTGTGGGCTCTCTGCAGCAGTACTGCTGTTCTCTCTTACATAGTCTAGAGCAAAACACAGGGCACAGC